TGGATGGAAGGAAGGAAGGAAGGAAGGATGGATGGATGGATGGATGGATGGATGGAAAACATGAAAATGTATTACGGTTCGGTAGAAAAGGTCATAACAGAGTCTTCTTCACTTTATTGATCTGCTCAGTACAATAGAGTCTACAGAGTTTTCTCGTGAGCTTTTCGTAGTTTTATTTTGGCTTAGGACTCTTATTTTATTAATATAGCAATCATTCATTGCCCATTTCTGTGATATTAGTCCGAAAACCTCAGAGTTGGTCTTGCCGGCCTTAACGGAGTCTTCAAATAACAAGTTGATTATTTGATTATAATGTGGGTCATAATGTAAATCACACTAGGCAGTCGGCGTTGGACATCGGTAATATTTGCAATGGACTTCGCTTATCAAGTTTTACAAGAACATTTACTTGATTTTTAGACTGTCTCAACAATCATTAGTAGAAGTACTGATACCAATGTTCAAATCATATGAAATTTAATCAGTTCTATATACAAAATCCGGCAGAATTGAAGGTTTCGCAGTTTGTTCGTATTTTTATGTCAAATGTTCACATAATAGTATTAGTATTATTGTTATTGCTTGAGTGTCACACTCAATCTATTTGAACTTGATCAGTAAACATGATGGCTTGTTGGAGCAGCTTAGAGTAATTTAAAGAATCGATACGGATACGATATCGTTGCTTTTGAGGATGTTTTCGGAAAACTTGACTCGATCGGCTTCAGTTAATTAGTTTTTGCCACAATCATTCAGTCAGCATGGGGACCATTTAGTAGTTAGCATTAAAAGCCGTTCGGGTGGGTGGCTGTCAATAAATACAACTCACACTAGCTATAGCTGATACTTTAAGTATCTATCGAAAGTATTTACTAGGGATTTCCCCAGATATGATTCATAAGATATAAGACCCGAAGGGCGACATTATATCTAAGGTGTTCTAAGTATGGAAGAATACAGTGGCAGGGGTTGAACCGTGTAACAGTCATACCTTTATTTCGTGCGATGCTTCGGAATATTCAACTTTTATTTTTTCTTTCCAGTCATTTTTTCTTTCAAGTCCTCTTGCTTCAAACATTTCCCAAACTAAATTAAGACTGGTATTCCAAATGTTTGAGTGAAAGGTTCAAAAAATCTTTTCTGAAAGTGAAGAAATTTAGCAAGAAGTTTGATTTTGTGAGAAGCCGCCATCATATCAAAACTCCTAATTTGCATATCTAAACTGAAAATTCCGAAGTATGGCTTATTGTGTTACACGTTTCAAGTCCCTTATACGCTTCTGGTGGTAGCCGGATTATTCTAAAATATACACATTGGTCGTAATTAAGCCGAACTGATCATAATGCCTTTGCTTTCTGCCTAATTATATAAACGAAAACGTTGTAGAAAAACGACGATTTCAAATAGCCTAAGATGTCAGAGGAAATGCTTAAAGAACAAGGCGATTTCTATTTCAATAATTAGCCAAAAACATTAATTCCTTCCGCAAGAACATTCTAGTGTTTCCGCGTACTGGATTTCTCGTAAAAGATCATTACTTGTCTCACTTAACAGCGGGAAATCGCTGGCAGCGTGTATCAATTGGACATGCAGCGCGAACTTGCTTCTGGGATTCAAGGGTGGTGTAGAGGTGTTGAAGTGTCAGTACGATCGTATGTCACCTCTTGGTTCGGTCAGTCCTGGACTTAGCATCAAAGGTGAATAAAAGAAAGAAAGAAAGAAAGAAAGAAAGAAA